CTCGGTACGCTTGCCCTGCCTCTGTCCCTCCTCCTCTTCTCTCATCCCTCGCTCACATATGGTCTCTCTCTCTGGATGTGTGTGTGTTTGGTGTTACCCAGAGTTCACTGGGGCTCCCTGCTCATATGTGTATTTGTGTGTGTTTTACAGAGATAGAACGAGTCTGTGTATGTCTGTAGCCTTGGGGGTTTGCCTGCTTAGGCCTGTGTGTGTGTGTGTGTGTGTGTGTGTGTATGTATATATATAGGAGTGGCGACCTGTCCAGGGTGTACGTCGCCCGATTGCCAGCCGATTGCAAAAATGTGTTTGTCTGTGTTAATGAAGTGAGTTTGGTTGTATTTGTGTGTGAACATGGAAAAAATGTCTGTTAGTCACTTAGAAACATGGGGAAATACCCAATTACATTAACTCAACATATGTTATTTGGCCCCCTCAGTCTAAAGTAACCAGCCCAGCATCTTGTTAGGCTAGTAAAAGAAACTACCAGCACTTGTTGGTTACAACATCATAGAGGAAATTTGCTTTTGTAATTGTATATCATAATAAAACTTAGGATTTCTTCCCACATTTACTAGTTTTGGAGCAGTTTACAAGCTCAGATTTTCTTGCTTGTAAACTGCTTGCCAGATCTTACCCAACATGTTGACATGTTGGCGTGGGCTGAGCCAGTGATCTGCTGGATAACATCAGTGTTTATGTTCTCACTGCTTAATGGATCATTTATTTGCTGTAAGTAAACAGGAAACATCTTTTTTATGTCTCTGTCTGTCTTTATCTAGTTACTGGACCTGTTCACTCAGTGGGACTGGTCGACATACCTGGCTGACTACGGTAAACCCACCTGCAGATACCTGAGAGTCAACCCACACACTGCACTGGCCCTGCTGGAGAAGTGAGTAGTCCTTTTGAGTTTCTCATTCTTTCTTCATTCTGATTTATCTGTCCTCCTGGTCCATTATTCCCAGATTCCACCTCTTTCTTGTAATCTGTTAAGTACTGCTGAAACAACTCGTAGGTTATTCAGCAGGTTGGACAGTTCATTAATAAGATAACTGCCAAATATTTGCTGGTTCCAGTTTCATAAATGTGAGAATTTACTGCTTTTCTCTGGTTTAGGGATGATCTTTGGAGATTTTATAGATTTAAAGGCTGTTTTATTTGCAGTCTATATACTTTTTATTACATCTAACCTAAATGTGCTTTATATTAAAGAGAAAAGCCCAGAAAGTGTACTGATTGGCTTTCTTTCTGAGAGTTAGATGAGAAAACTGGTGTCACCCTGTCTCAGTATTAAGTGTGTAGCTGTAGCCAGGTCATTGTTATTTTAGCTTACCATAAACACAGGATATACTGCAGGATATATGGGGGAAATGGCTAACGTTTAGTTCAAAGCACAAAAAAATAGGGTCCACACATCCAAATTACTGAGGTGGGTCATTTTATTTAGTTCAAATTGTCACAGATAAGGGGAAATGTATGTTTAAGCTCTGCCTTCTTTAGTGTGAAATCATTTTAACTTTTCATCAACAGTGAATGTCAGCTGACTTATTGCCAACAGGTGCACCAAGTGGCTTCCTGTAAACAGAGGTATTCTCAGAGACGGGTCAAATTCCTCTTCCAAATTAGCATGGGACAATGAGTTAAATATGAAAAACCAATAGGGTTCATTTTGTTATCGTAGTACACTAGTCTTTCTAGTTTACCACCCCTGTATGGTTGCATCACTTTTTCTACTCGGACAGACTTTAGATGGATATATCTGCCTGTCTAATGGTGATTTTTGTTAATTGGCAAGATATTTTTCCTGTGTAGATTTCACAACATTCCGTGTAGAGCAGATTATGCATGAATTGATCTGAAATTGAATTTAAGTGACCTGTTTTCATGATAGTGCCACAGACCATATAGGGAGACCTTTTGATAAATATCCCCCTTCTTCCAACAACTTTAGTTCCAACAAACATGCTACAGTAAATTTTGGATTATTTTAAAGATGAACTTTGTTTGGTGCCTTAGTGGAGCATTGGCTTCATAGCGGCTGAAGATTGTTTTTAGAATTGCCTACTTAATCCACATTCATAATTGTTTACTTGTTTTAATTGCCATTTGGTCTGTGTAACCTACATATAGCTCTGTGAGTATGATTTTGTTTTTGGTGGTTAAATTTAGGATATTTCTCAGAGAAGCAAACCTGAGGAGACCTCAGGTTACAACCACTTGGTGCATCTGTTGGTAATAAGTTGTCTGACACTGTTGGTGGAAAGTTAAATGGGCTCAACTGTGAAACTGACAGACTTTTGCACACTGAAGAAGTTAGAGCCAGAATATCTGTGCACCCCCACCCCACCCACCTTTTTAATATATCTACCAACACCTGTAAAGTTCACTGATGGTACTTAAACTGGGGGTTTAAGGCTGTACAGAGTCTGAAGCCTGTGCTCATCTTTAACCACCTCTTGGACACAAGACTTAGTTTTCTCTGATTAGTCACTTAAGACAAGTAATCTGCAGCTATTTTGATAATCAATTATTCATTTTCCAGCCAAACCACCAAAAATGTCTTTTATTTAGTTCTATGTTGTTGTGAATGAAATCTGTTTTGGTTTTGTTCTGTTAACTGAAAAAAAAAAAAGACGTTTTATGGCCAAACAGTTAGATTTGACTAGATTCTCACCTTAATGTTCCCATCTCACTCTCAGAAAGACGGCAAATAAGCATGTTTGTTTAATGGAAAGTGACAGTGGACAGTTACTCAAAGCCATTTCTTTTTCCAGACATCTCTCTTTACCTTCATCTCACATGCTCTTGTCTCTGTTGTGTTTTGACAGGCGATTTAAGCCGTGAGTATTGTTGCTGCTATGTGTGTGCAATGATGGATTCTGGCATGTATAAATACTAGTTAGATTGCTGCTCAAGCCTGTATATACAAGAAATAGAAACAGTCTTGTTTTATGTATGCGTTTATTGTCACAAAAGTGGCTAAATGCACACACATCCTGGTCACAAAAAGAAAAACAATGTTTATTGCAGTTGCCAAGTAACTGGCATTACGTGAATAGATTGACCACATATTCAAAAACTAGTTATTTTCTCGCCTGGAAAAACCATTAAAACGTAATAAAATGGCATAATAACAGTCATAGGATGAAAATTATAACAGCTTTGAGCCTGCCCTGCCTCCATGGCAGTTTCATGCAGCTTTGCTGTGTCATCTGGCTACAGTGCGGGGGGGCCACTATCTACCTGGTACTCTGTGAAGTGGCCAGAACCTCTCCTGCAGTGGTGGTGGGAGAGAAAACAATCTTGATGTATTTGAAACAATAGCCTTAAATGTTATGACAAATACATCAGATGTGCATGGAGTGATAAAGAGTTCTTAAAATAATGTGTTCTCATGCTTTCCCCATGTAAAAACAGGTCTGATTGGTCAATATTCAGCGTGGGCCCTTAGTAGGGAGAGGCCGTGCATCAAATCAAGCACCCCCCTTTTCCTTGCTATGCTGGTGTTTAACCAGTAGTGTATCTGAGAAACAGAAACCAGTAAAAGTTCAAAATGTGTCCCTATACAGCCAGTGGGTAGCTCAGTGGTTACCACCACTGACTTTGGTGAGGCAAGTTGGGGTTTGATTCACTGTCAGGGCACAGCCTCAGCTTGGGCCCTTAGGCAAGGCCCTTAATGCTATCCGCCTAGTGAGGCACTACACAAATGCTATGGCGAGGAGGAGTCAGGACGCCAGGAAATGGGGGAGATATCATCATCATCCCCAAAATTCGGTTTTTCTATTAGGATTATAACTAAGATGATGCAAGAAGTGAAGTAGTGAGAAAGCTGTAATGAAGTACATAGTGAGGAAATTAGAGTGCCTCCTGAGATATGCAGGAGAAAGGATCCCTGGCTAACATAATGGTAGGGGAACACTGGAGATGTGTCTGTACTGAGCATGCTTGGGTTTAAAGGATAACCCTTTTTTACCTGCTGTTTCCCCTAAAAGGGTGTATGGTGACTCTATAACTTGCAGAGATAATGGAAGACATAAAAGCTGCATTAAAAAGTGTCAGTGGGGCCATCTTGGTTAGCCTCAGAGTGTTCAGAATGAACACGATTTCAGTCAAATAATTTCTCATGCTTATCTCTGAGTCAGAAGGAAAGAAAATACAGCTGCGGTAGCCAATACACCTAACTGCTTAGGATTATACATCTGGGTCATCTTGCTGGCTGACCTGATGTTGGCTGTAATGGTTCCAAAACAGCTACATCTTGTACTTCCTTTCCATCTGACTCAGAGATAAGTGTGAGAAATGATTTGATTGAAAACATGTTCATTCTGAGCTCTCTAGGAGGCTGAGCCATTGACCTAGTGATGACTTTTAATACAAATTCTTGTTTCCTTCTTGTTAAATCTCTACAACGGAGGCAGTGATAGCAAACCATACCCACTTTTATGGGAAATACAGTGCTATCCTTTAAGGCTCAGACTAAACTGAGTGATTACGCATTTTGTGTGTTTTTCCTAAATGTATCAGATGAACTGTTTAGTGCATACTGGTAAACTAGCAGCTTTGAAGACTGAGAACATAATACACACACACACACAACTAAATACATTACCCTTGTTTTTCTTGATCCTCTCCTGATTGGCTTTCTTCCATAATAACTACTACTTCTCTGTCTCCAGAATGAGGGAAATGAGCAGGAAGAACAACGTCTTTGCCCAGTTAAGGAAGACAGACAGAGACAGACAGAAACTCATCGACACCATCATCAAACAGCTTCGCAACCTCATTGCACAGCACCACACCTAAAGTAAGTCACCTGATTGGCCAGCAGGCCCAAACCCACCATCCAGCTGACTGATATCCAACCTGATAAGAAGCAGATGACATAGACATGTTCTACTCTACTGCAACCATTGGACGACTGATGCACCTTAACTTCACTGGACTCCACAAGCTTCACTTCCTGCGAGCGAGGTTCTGCCACTTATCAGGACTCAAATGAGTAATGCTGTTTGTTGCTTTAGTATTGAGAACTAGGGTTCGAGAAACTGTCCTAAATCCTGTTTGTTGTTCTAAATGTCTCTTTGTACACAAGCTGAACTTTAAAAGAAAAAGAAAAAAAAAACGGAAGCTCATATTCTGTCAGTTCATCTAAATTCGTGCCCAACTGTAATGAGGTAACCTTACTGGCTGAAGATAAGCAAGAGTCTAATTAGTCTGATGCCAGCACATCCTAAGAGCTGATATTTAAGGATAAAGGCTGGTGATATTCTATGTATTTTTTTTTTAATCAGCAAATTACATAAAAAAAGAATAGATTCTTACAGTAAGAGATATTGAAACAAAAGTCTGATATGTCTTCTTCCTCTGTGCCATGGAGCTCTACTGTTATTTAAAAACCCATGACACATTCATAACTTAGAAACCAGTGGACTGTTAGTTTTGGTCTTTTCAGAAGATTTGTTGACAATAAGAAATGGACACTCACCTTCTCCCCAAACTTGGATTTGATTTTAATTTTAAAAGCAGCTGGAATCTGGAAGAGTTCTGACCGGTGTAGAACAAGCAAGTAGAGCAAACAGTTTAATCATTGGTTTTATTTCTATGATCATATTTAAGCACATACTATCAGTTCAGCAGCTTCAAAATCAGTAATACAAGCATTTCAGAATATAAATGATAAAAAGTAAAAGCTTCATCTGTACCACAGACCTCCATTGTTGTTCAAAATGATTAAAAACACATCAGTGAAGAACACTGCTGCACTGGGTGGTGATTCCTCATTGCGAAACACCAGACCCTGACGTTTATTAAAACTGTTTGCCCAAAGCCTTGGAACTGCCACAGCTTTTTACAGTGTCTGAAGTAAACAAGAGTGAGAGGCCCATGCACAGAAATCTCTGGATATTTTTAACAAATATTAGAGTCTTGTGTTTTGTAATGAGGAGACATGTAACCCAGTGCAGCGGTGTATTTCCCTGATGTGTTTTTAATTGTTTGGACATCAGTGGTGGTCTAAGGCACAGACAAATAAATTAATCCAGGACTGACAGACATTAGCAGTGAGTAGAGGCAAATCATTGTTATGGGGAGTGCTGAAACACTTAATATAGAAAATGACCAGGCTTATCCTTTAAGAATGAAAAATGGCAAGTACAGTGAGGAAAAGTTAAATCTGCAACTAAATTATGCTTGATTAAAGTGTTTGCAGAGCAATTATTCCTTCTTGTTCTTGAGGTTTGAGAGCAATCTTACCATTTCCAGCTGCCATGAACACTTTGTTGCTCCAGTTGCTGGATGTTCTTGAGCCTTGTTACCAGCGTATTCTTATCTGTAAAATGCGAAGACAGGCAAATTCTGTAAGTTACAGTAGATTTTTACAGGAGTTGTGTGCCAAAAGTCAGTGAGTCTCTAGTCGGTTAACTTGTGTTTTTGACAGAATTTACTCTACGAGCTTCTCATTTCTGTCGCTGTCAACCTTTAACATCTTCCCTATCGCTCTCCCTTAATGTGGCACAACAGCAAAATGTATTGAATGTCCATTAGCGAGGGCCATCTTCCATAGTATAAAGTCATTTTAGGTTGTAACATTTTAATATTGCAACTAGAAAAGCACTGCACTCAAGGTCTGGGGAAAGAAAAACAAATATAGGTGGTGAATGAACTGAATTTTACTTACTAATAAAGGGGGGTGTTGGCGCAACATGGCGACCCTTTTCCTTCTTAATATACAACCTGTGAACACTTGAATGGCTCCTCTGATCTGGCAACCTTATTCCCACATCATAATACCTGATAGAAAACACAGTGAGTGCTTGGGATTTAAAAGGGGGATGTGGTACAAACATGGTAACCCATTCCTCCATCTCCCATTACATTATAATTACAGGATGTTGTCTGAGCATGTATAAATAACTGGGTTCTAAAGAATCTCCTGATCTGGAAACTGCTACAGTATATAGTATAGTGTTTTGCCTGGATGACTAGAGAGAGACTTATTTGTATTCTGAACATTGTACTAATGCCATGTCCACACATTTATGTCTTCCATAAACGTATGCCAAGCTGTGCCTGTGTGTGTGCACTTGTACACACACAAACTTGCTCAACTGAAGCACAGAAAATAATTACATTCACTTTAGATTATTTTGTAAACTAATATGGGTTTTTTGTTGCCTTTTTTTTTCTTGAACCTAGGTGCAATAATTGCATTGTGTGTGTGTGAATCACAGCGCTTTATAAAGGGATTGTTACAATGTGTCAAAAGGGAATTTAAGTGTAAGGGAGGACATGTGATTACACCGTGTTTGATGTATTAGGCAACATCATGTGTGTTTCTGAGTCTGTGGTCACTTGTGCATGCTGGCACTGTGAAATCAAGTTTATGCAGATGTGCATCATTTTTAGGTCTTAGTATAAGGGAACAGGGCCGCCGTTGCTGAATGTGGCTTTGCTGTTTTGGTTCTTTTTTTCTTGTGGTGTTTGGACTCTGGACACAGTTTACTGAACATCGTGTACCGTGGATGTTCAGTAAGGACGAAAACTAACTTAAACTCCTCTTACTCTTTTCCTGTGACACTAATAACAATGCTGTACGCTGCTAGTAGCCTAAAGTAACACTCTTTTGTGGAATCAAAATGAGGACTGATCAGTGTTGTTGACATTTACAAGTTGAAAATTGGGGGGGGGGGGCTACAAAATCATAATGATGAGTTGAAATCTCTTAATAAATTGCTCTCTTTTATGTAACTGAGGTCTGCATCTTGACAAAATGTGTCAAATGTTATTTTATGGTGAACACTGTACTTGTCCAATGCATCAAGATGTCCTTATAGTTTTAGATGCAAATTAGCTTTAGTTGCATGATTTAGGACCGATAAAATGTATTTTTCAAGGAAGAGCTCAAGAGTACTGTGGCAGTAAAAAGCGAGGCAACAGTATTACTTGGTGACTTCTCCCTCATCGAGCCAGATGTTCAAACCCTCAGATGCCTGGCTACTACACTGACCTGTCCATAGTCCACACACTGCAGATATTGTTGCTACTTTGTTTTGTATTTTATAAGCAGAACTCTAAATTGAGAGAGACACACTGTTAAAGCTGTTGTATTACCACTAATGAAACTAAACTAAATACTATTAAAGTTGCAAAAATGCCAACAAGCAAGTATGGAATAAATGGAAAAGAGTTGAATATTTTGTCTTGACTTATTTTTTTTTACTTTATTTCAGTCATGTCAAGGTTACTAATCTTGTCTTTTTCATGTTTAGATTACATTATCTTATCCATTTGTCAGTGTGTTTATTACATTAATTTATCTAGTATACTAGACTAGCATTTTCACATTGGTGAAAAAAGTACTTAGACTTTATTGTGTGGATGCTGACTCAGCATCCACACTATTATTATCCTGTTCTTTATTAGTCTCCATAGCACTCACTCTGTACTCAGACACCTGGACGACAACACTTATGCAAGAATGCTGTTCGTGGACTTAAGCTCAGCATTTAACATGGTCATCCCCTCCAAGTTAACCATCAAACTTGGTGACCTGGGCATCAGCACCTCCCTCTGCAACTGGATTCTGGACTTTCTGACCAACAGGCCTCGGCATGTTAGGTCAGACAGCACCTGCTCCTCCACCATTATCCTCAACACCGGCGTACCACAGGGCTGTGTGCTGAGCCCATTCCTCTACTCCCTTTTCACCCATGACTGCAGGCCTCTGCATAGCTCCATCACCATCATCAAGTTTGCAGACAACACCACGGTGAATGGCCTCATCAGCGACAATGATGAGACAGCCTACAGGGAGGAGGTACAGCACCTGGCTGTGTGGTGCGCTGACAATAACCTGCTCCTTAACACCAACAAGACCAAGGAGCTCATTGTGGACTACAGGAGGGAGAAGGGAGGCACACACGACCCCATCCATATTAACAGGGTTGGCTGTTGAACGTATCTCCTGGGGACCCACATCTCAGAGGATTTATCCTGGACCACAACACCTGACGCCTGATTAAGAAGGGTCACCAGCGCCTCTTCTTCCTGAGGACACTGAAAAAGAACCACCTGTCTTCAGCCATCCTGGTGAACTTCTACCACTGTGCCATCGAGAGCATCCTGACCAGCTGTATCACAGTCTGGTATGGAAACCACTCTGTCTACGACCACAAGGCGCTGCAGCGGGTGGTGAAAATTGCCCAACGCATCACAAGGACTCCACTTCCAGCCACTGAGAGTGTCCACAGGGCTGTCTCCACTGTGCTAGCAGCATTCTCAAGGACTCCTCTCACACTGCTCACAAACTGTTTGACCTCCTACCCTCTGGGAGGTGCTTCAGGAGCTTCCAGCCCAAAACCAGAACAAGTCCAGCCAGGACTCGTGGTGCAGCTCCACCCTGCAGCACCATCTTCAGCCGGTCACACTGGTAAGTCCTCACTGAGGAACAAGGCTTTAATTCCAGACATTAATTGAGTCTTAGAGCTGCTCTTGTAGACTTGTAGACATACAACTGACTGTGTCAGTTGTATGGGTTTTTTTTTTTGATTTTGTGTAAATAGATGTTGACTTGGACCTTTGCAGTGTCCATTCTGCATATATGAAGGGATATTCACTGCCCAGGTACAAATGTGCCTGCTAAAAGCCTTTTGTTCAAAATGAAGCAAACCTGTCAAAAACAGTGTGATGGGTTGAAATTATAGAGCATATCATGCTCAATCCTTAACCAGTCATTCCATGGCCAGACAATCGTCCAGAATCGTACAACAGTGAGAGAGAACTATACTAGCACCGACAAGTTCAGGTCAGTGTAATTTCTCAGCTCTTTTTTTCCTGACAAACTCATTTCAAAAGTGTTTGAGCAACTTTGATATAAATTGTAATGAAGATTCTCAAATTTTTATAACATGGAACACAATATAACTGCATACAACACTTTATTCTACTACGGAATGAAATGAAAATATTAATAAAAACTGTCAGTTTCTCTTACCTCAATGTCCTCATGTGGGTTGACATGACTGAGTCTTCCCATTTTCCACAGCTGCGTCCTGTGAAGGGTTGTTCCATCCCTCAGTGTCGAGATCATCTTGGATTGGAGGCAGGCTGTGGGGGAAAACAAAGACAAAATAGACAGTTATTTTGTTGTGTAAACATTTGGTCCACCTTACCACAAAGTGCAGAGGACATTCCACTGAAGGATGTAAACCAATTAAGGGAAATCAAAATGAAAAATAAAAAGAAATCTGAAAACTGCTCACTTTAAGATGTTCTGTGGCTGGGGACACTTCTCCCTGAAGCTTCCCTTACCGCAGCCTCCAACATCCACAATCTCAGGTCCACTGTCCCCACTCACGTTTGAACATGCACTAAAACAAAATTGCAATCAAGTTAAGATGTGCAGTGTTTCAGTATTAAACAAATATTCTTAAATTCTACAAGGTTGACTGTAGTAAAGTTGTCAGCTTTCAAACTGCCCTTACAATGACTGAAAACCCACATGCAGTCTGAAAAGCAGGAGTAACTACTACGATGAAGCCTAATTTGATATTTTAGAGAATTGTTTAACATACTGCTATAAAATTGAACACTGATGTAGTTTTAAGTGCACAGAAGTTACTAAATTAAACATTTTAATTGTTCACATATTAAATGTTAATATCAAAAGCAAAACAAGACGGCGTAGAATACCTGGATGGAAAGTCGGGTTTCTTTGCAGCTTTAAGAAAGAACCCCAGAGCCATGGATGCCTTGTTTTTGGCCGTTTGGAGGATCAGGATCTGTGACAATACATTTAGAGTTAACTCAGTCGGCTACTCAAAGTTACTTATGAGTTTATCCACAGTGAATTAAAAGATAATTGTATTTGCCAGCTGTACTATCAACTTGTGTTTTGCTTGAGAGCAATGAAGGTCAGTCACTATGTAGTTATGACAATGTTTGCCATAAACACTACAGATAGGACACAAAGTTTTTACTAAAGCTTCATTATCCTACAGTAAATGAAACCGTTACACTACAGTTCGTTCTGACCCTGTGTACAAACGTGGTGGATACAAATGCAGAGTGAAAGCATGTGGAAAGGTGCTAATATGCAAACCTTACAGCTGCTGTGTTAAAACATCCATATATCAAACTCAGAAGTCTGTCAGCAGAAAAATGGGTCAGATTGGAACAAACAATGAAGTGTTGTATGCAATTACATTGTGTTCCATGTTAGTTATAAAAATGAGAATTTTCATTACAATTTATTTTATTTATTTAAATTACAGTCTGACCTGAACTTGTCAGTGCTAGTATAGTTCTCACACTCTCTCACTTGAACCACCACAACTTTAGAATATGTTTCTCACCTCATCAACTTGCCGTTGATGTCCACATGTAGGAGTGACGGTGGCCCAGAACACTGTCGGTCCTCCTCACAACACGCCCGAGACTATTTACACTGTGCAAGTTCTTGTCCATGCTTCTGTGGCCTATTGAAAAGATACATGGGGGGAGTTAGTCCTATAATATCTGTCCTAGTTATAACAATTTACAATTACTCTGATCACAGAAACCTGTACAAACTAACATTTCATAAAAACCATCAAGAATGCAGGAAAAGTCAACAGCTCTTACTAAATGCACATAATCATTAAAGGGCTATTGCATTCTTTATTCAGGTTTCTCAGTATATGATGCACTTTGAGGCTAAACAGGAGGTTTAATGACAATTGTTTGCTCTAATTCATTCATATTTCTTGCACAGCTGAGCCTCTCCTCCCCTATTCACCTGATCTTTCCTTAATTTTCCTAGCCTATGCTAAGGAAATACAGTACAAGCCTAATCATGAGACTTTAGGCATCTCAGGTGAGAAATTTGCAAGCTACTCACAAGAAGTTCAAATTTTAACAGTTAAAATGATCCCTACCTTTATCAGCTACAACATTAAAATAATGCACCAGAAATTATAATCAAATAAAATACATCAATGTGAAATGCATTCTATTATTATCCTGCACAGTGACTACTTTTACTTTTGGTAATTTAGGTATATTTCACTGCTAATGCCTTTGCACTATTATTTAAGCAACATTTTGAATGTAGCACTGTTACCTGTAACAAGGCATCTGTTGGATCTGATGGATGATGGTACGAATGTCTGGAAGGAATGATGTGGAAGCCATAAGGACAGAACCTGAAAGCAGTGTTGACCTCATAAAGCAAATGTCACCGAATCATATTTCACTTTATCCTTTCATGTTATATTAAATAAGCTTCTGTTATTTGGACAATGTGTTACTTATTTATGTAGGCATTGCATTGTAAAAATGTGTTACTCTAACTTAAAATAAGTTAACAAAAGTAAAAGAAGTTCTCTCAGATTTATCTTTCCAGCCACTGCTGTATGATCAGTTCAACCAAACATTTTATTCTCTCTAGTAGTTTTCAGAGAAATAAAGGTGTCCAGTTATTCACCTGAAAAAATCTAAGGCTAAATTCTAAGTCTGGCAAGCCTTCAGATTTATAACAACTGTTTTAGAGGATGAATAAGAGCATGTTCTGTATGGACTGCAGGTTTCTACAGCTTTAACTTGTTTTCTCAACATTATTATTAGTTGCTGACTTATTTAGAAGTCAAAATAAAACCCATCTGCCATGTTTAAACATTGATAGTAAAGAAAAGACATTCAAACACTTGTCACTAAAGATATCAGCAGTGAAAAATAAAAGGAAATAGTGACAGGCTTCGCGTGTGTAACAGCACTGATCAGGTGCTAATGTTAACGTTACCTGGGCATGTGGTTTACATTGTAAGGAACCAACACAACTTTGTGTGCCTCCAGTAGAGTGTTTTCATGCTGCCAAACCAGACCCAAACACCAACAGGACCGATTATAACAATAAACTAAATTCAACCCTTGTACGTCCCATCAATATATTTTAACAGCTGGATACCAAACCACAAGATGGAGACCATTCTTCCCACAGATGTATTAAGGGGGAAAGGTAGGAGATATTTCAATGTCTGTATTGTGAGAATGTTTTTGCATAATGTTAATACATTCATTCTTTTTATTTTCCCTGCTCAATGTTACTCACCTGGCGCACACGGCAAATTTGTTTTTCTTCCGGGGTTGCTTCCACATTCTGGGGTCCACTGCACATGCGTACTAGGGGGCAGCGGCTGAACTTCCTCAGTACCACATACTATAGTAAGGCACATGTTTCAGGAGGTGGTCGGACTTCACTTTTACGACATATTATATAGTAAGGTGTATTTTTCAGGAGAGGAGTACAGTATGTGAGAGAATGTATTTAGTTACTTTCCATCCATGTAGTGAAGCAGAGGTAAAGAGTTAAAGTCCAACCAAACAAGCAAAACTGAACTTACCTGAGGCAAGTGGATCATCAGCAAATTCACCTACTGCAGCCACAACCTGCAGAGAAATGGCACACAGTGATATTGTCAAAACAGCTGATAAAACAAGAAGTATCATTAAAATGTTTTTGAAAAACCACCTTTCTCATCCACACCGCCTGACTTTCATCTCAGTGACCTTTGACCTCTCAGACAGCAGGGGCATCTGCTCAAGGGATGTGATTAACGAGGACTTGGTGTGCGTGTGTGTGGGTTGATGGTGCAGGTGGGAGGTGTGTGCGCTTGTTCACTTAAGGGCAACGACGCGAACCCTGAGCAACACAAACTCTGCATGCGCCAGACTTCCTCGGCCGACTCTGTGTCAGCGTGTTCCCAGCAGTCTACAGCGCAGCAGTGGAGCGCTCCAAAGCTTAGGGATACCTCACAGAAACCGCTCTCCTCAAGCTATTTGAACTCTTTCTTCTCTTTTCCATTTTCAGTTTAACTTAAAGACTGCTCTGGTTAGGCCACGTCCTTCCTTGCTGGTCACATAAAGAAGCCTCTTCTAATGAAATCAGCAGATTTCTCAGAGTCAGCAATAAGTCTGTCAGTGATCACTTTATCACTGCTTACAAGTAGCTGACTCTACAGATATTGGTTCCTTAGTTTGGTCACTGCACCAGCAACTTAGTTTGTGTCACTATGCGTCTTTGTCTTAGCTGATGTTTTGCAACTATTAAAAAATCACATTATAGACTTCTGATCTGAATTTTAATACTTTAGTTTTAATGGAAAGTATTTTGTAACTGTAGCTTGCAAGGTGCTCTCCATAAATAAAATTATGAATATTTTATTATTATACACAGCTGGCTATGATCTGACTGCTAAATCACAATTTAAGACATGCAGTATTGTTGACTTGATTAAACTAAGTGGTTTTGTATTATATTATCATAGAGGATCTGCCTGCACTGGACTTTAATCCACAAAACGGGCACATTTACCTTGGGTGAAAACCAAATTCTTCCATGGAGAAATGTTTGGCTTGGTCAGGTTGCCAGTGAACTCAACAACATGTGGTATTTTCAAGCTTTGAAAGCTACTAGAAACCCAAAACTATCACAGCTTTACCAGAGTGGATTCACTGAACATGAATGCACGTTTCCACCGACACTTAGCTCCGCGGTGAAGCTGCATTAGCCCAGTTGGGGGTTAACACCTTGTTTAAGTTCAAAAAGACAAAACTGAAAATAGAAATACAGGGACGTTTTATGTTGTTTCCTTTTCTGTGGAACTGCATGTTGATTTTACTGTGCAATTTATCTCCAACATTGGTTGTAACATTTACTAAAGCGGTTTTACAAAGTCACACACATGAAGTTAATGTAAGAATGCTGTCATGATGCAACCTTCTGCTCAGGAATCCTCTCTGAAACGAAGGCCACTACTAACGTGCAACCTTAAAACTGATGCTGGAGAATGATAAAGCTGCTGACAATGTAATAAATGACTATGTAACTAGAAAAGGGGTCACCTGCTGTGATGAACA